TTATTTATTTTTTATTTATTTTTATATTTTTTTTAAATACGATATACAAAAGCTTCAATCTAAGTACAAAAAATCATGAATATCCTTTCTCATTCAGAAAAAAGAGCAAATTAAAATTACGAGTGACACTAATTCTGTAGCAAACTAATCGTACGTTAAAAATTAGGATGAAATATCCAATACGGATAAATGAATCCTCCGTGACAAAATTCATCCGCGCAGTAACACGAGATTCTGGTAAAAATTAAATTTTCTTGGAAACGCGTGGTTTTTTCATGCAGGGGACAGCCAATTAAATCACAACAACTCGATTGCGTGCCTTTCCATAGTGTTACATCCCAAACCGATGGGCCGTATGCATATTTTACAGGCTTGGGTGAAGTATTATTTGCCATGGATTTTTTGTTATCCACATTTTGCTTTGTTAAGCTCTTTTCCACTGCGTGACGCCTAAAAATTCGAAATAAACGTTACATTATTACTATTGTTATCAAGTATTGTGTTAATCCTAGTAATGATAAATGAATATTCATTCATAAATATACATATTTACTTTGAATGGTGTATGTCTTCGGAGGATCTTTTCAAGCGATCATTTTCCTCGTCAGGCCTATTTACAAACAAAACTTTTATTTACTTATTTCTTGGTTACTGCAGCTAATGACTATTGACTTTCTATCGCCCTTGTGTTGAATTGCAATACCTACTTGTCATACGTATTTATTAAACCTTATAAATTTCCTTATGCAAAATTTTTCTTCAAGATCACTGATCTATTTTAATTGGTCTAATAAAGCCTCCAACAAGATTAAGTTATAAATTATTTTTTGACGATCAATATTTTTACATTACAAAAATAATGTATGGTAATGAATTACGCTGTCTAATAATTACATATGGAAGCATCTAATTTTTTACTTTTATGTTGTGAAATAAAGTGAATGAGTTAACTTGAATGTAAAAATGACCATAGTAATAGATATGTTTTGTCGGCTGCACGTTAACCATCTAACTTATATTTGTTGACATTAATATTGGTCTATTAGAGTTGAACTTTATTAATCAAACCATTAGCTGGTAGTAAGAAATTAAAAATAATAATTACCACAGATGTAGGTGATCTAATTCTTGACCTACAGTGGAAACACTTGATAATTCATAAGCTTTCCTGATTACAGCTCTCCCAGCCAACTTTTCCGCATTTTCCGAACAACAACGATGAAAAACAACAAAACGAAAAAAAAAAAAAAAAAAAAACCCCCCCCCACGACTACTACTACTACTGCTGTTGCTGCTGCTGCTTCTGTTACCTCTGCTGTGTGCTGTACTAAAAAGAAAGCTCCGCTGTCTGCAGCCGATAAAACATGTCTATACGTACCTATACACATCGGACGCACAACCCATATGGGCCAGGGGGAAGGGGGATACGCACGTTTACACTCTACGCGCAGATACGAGTTTCCGCGGTACTTTACGAGAAACGACTGCTGTTGCACACAGCGCGTGCATTGCGCTCGTATTTTAAGCTGTTTTTTTTTGTCCCTCCGAACAGCAGCTCTCTCTCGCCGAGGTGGAATCGACGCCCTCCCCCCCCTGGACACTCGTATACATCGCGTGTAATAACGAATCCCTGGGTCGTCCGTCAGAGCGCAAAAATTCGCGCAACGAGAGCTTCTCTGTTACCGATCAACTGGGTTTTTTTTTTTTTTTTACCTGATTAAAATATTTATACCATTTTGTAAATTTTTTTTTTTTTTTTTTTTTTTTGTCAACAGGCACTACAACCACGTTCTACATCAACTCACTTATCGGCCAATCAATGTTGGAATTAGAATGAAAATGGACTGCTTGCTCTGGGAATTTAAAGACATCGCGACTGTTAATCTATTGCTGGTCGATACTTTCCAAAGCATTGGGGGTTGGCCAACCGCAGATACGTTCCAAAAACTGTTTGTCTTTTATTACATGATAAACTCACGGTTTGTGGGTTCAAACGCTGATTTGGTCCCGATGAAAGGACTGTTGAACTCGACCCACTTATCGTGTATCATCTCGGATTGCAACGAAAAACTGGAAGAACTCAAGGAAATTAAGGCAGGCGACAAATCGATGTTCGACATCCTCACGATGCCGCTGGATGCGTTGGCAGGATTATTCAATAACGAGGATTGCCTGAAAGGTTGCACCGACTTACTCTTGTCGCTTGAAAAAAAAGTGGAACTTGAATATCACGAGTATGCGTTGGTAACTCACATTGAACTAGCAATGGAGAAGATGAGGGTATTGCGTGCGGCAAGAGATAATCTAAAAGAAGCAGTTCGAGGTATCTTAGAGACAATTAATTACGTAAGTTTGGATGATCATATCATCTTGAATATTTTTGCTCATTTGAATGTCAGAGAATTGAAAAAAATCGCGTGAATCAGTTGATTTGAAAAATTTTCAATCATCAGATTTTACCGGCTCGCAGTGTATAAAATAAATAAAATAGTTGGTGAAACAACTAAAAGATTTTGATTGTTCAACGAATGACCGTACAAAAACTTTGAATTTTTATTATGTTGATTGTTTTGCGTTTTTGTGCCATTATGATTAGTAAATGTCAAATTAAAAAAAAAAAATTTTATTCCATAAAACTTTTAAGTAGTACTTAGGCACTTATGTAAAATGCCGTGTCGGCTTACTTTAATTAATAGTTATTCAGTTTATATTAAAAAAGTACAATTGGATTATTTAGGTTATTTATATATTTTTCCCAAATGATCTGCGAAACCACTAAGAAACTGGTCATGTAATAAATGCACATTTACTCGAAAGTACAGTTTTTTTTTAACACAAAATCCTCTT